CCCAGAAAACCAAGAACAACCCAAGGCTTGCATTTTGTGATTTAGGTGTTTTAGGAAAAAAGAAAAAAAAAAAAAAAAACACAGAAACAGGTGTGCACCTAAATGTAGCACCATGGCCGACCTGCGTGCTGATGTCTACAGGCTCGGGATTAAACTGAGCCCGGCAAGGACAAAAACCGGACACAGGCGGCCTCAAAGCATGGATGGGCAGTTCTGGTCCAGGCGGGGTGGCAGTGGTCCCAGGGCAGTGTGAATCTGAGGTGCTGAACCATACACTTGAAAACGGTGGGGATGGTAAGTTATAGGCCGCACTTACTTCATCACAGTGAAGGGTAATGAACAGTGTCTGCGAAGCAGTACCAAGTTTTTTGTTGGTTTTTGTTTGGGGGTTGTTTGGTACCGGAATCAAACTTGGGACCTTGCAAGGCAGGCAGCGGAACCACTGAGCTAAATCCCCAGCCCAACATCACCAAGTTTTAAAAGCCCCGAGTGCCCCTGTTCCTGTTCCCACGGTGGCCACGATCCCGTGTGATGCTGATTACTCCCTTGTCTTTGTAGGCCAGTCGCACATCCCTGCACCTAAACAAAAGGGAGGCGTTCACAGGGCTGCTGGGCCCCACACTCATCCTCGTCGGACAGGGCAGAGGCCCCCGGGTGGGGGCGCCTTGCCCACACTGCCACAGTCTTGGACAAGGTGAGAGAGAGACCTGCTAGAGAAGTGCGTGCGTCTGTGTGACGTCACTCGGGTGTGTGTAGAACAAGCCGGAAGTACCTCCCCTGAGAGGATCACAAGTTCTAGGCCCACCTGACGACCCACAGCAGAGGAGGAGCATGGCAGGGAAGGGTGCCTACCTCATGAGGGCCAGGATGCTGAGCGGGGGGATGGGCACCCAACATGCCCTGTACCCGAGCCCTCTGTGGCACACCCAGAAGTGGGCTGCACCAGTCCCCTAGGTGGACCCCAAAGCCCATCAGGGTCAAGCTGACCCAGTGGGGTTTAAGTGCCACGTGGGGGAAGGTGTTCTCAGCCCACATCACAGATGAGGGACCCCGAGGGAGCCCTTCTGGGAAACATACTCACTGCTCAGTGGGTGCGGGACTGACTCCCAGCCTCCCGACGCACAGCCCAGCTCTCCTACCACACGGTGCTGGCCCGCAGAGCCTCCCTTCTACCTGGATGGCTCTAACACCCTTGCTACACCTCAGGCAGGAAAAGGCAAAGACAGTGCTTTGCTGGCTGGGGGCAGCCTGTGCTGGGCTGGTCCCTGGGAGAACAGCGGGTAGGGATCCTGAGGGGACGTAATTTCCTCCACCAGCAGGAGAGCCTACAGTGTTTTATAATAAAGATGGCCGGGTGTGGTGGCACCTTTGTAATCCCAGCATGGAGAGGCTGAGGCAGTGATTGCCGTGAGTTCAAGGCCAGCCTAGGCTGCATAGTGAGTTCAAGGAGAGTCTGAACTACAGAGCAAGACTCCGACTCAGAAATAAATAAAATAAAATAAAATCTATTATTAAAAAAAGAAGAAAAATGAACAAAGTTCCCATATAGTAATCTACTGCCCTTCTCTCTCTCTCTCTCTCTCTCTCTCTCTCTCTTTTTTCCCCCCCCCTAACTTTTACTGGTTATAAGTGTGCGGCGTTAACTAACAGGAAAAAGGTATTCAGAGTAGCTTAGAATGTTAAAGAAAATACCATTATGGTTTATATAAGGAAAATGCACTAAATGATACCCCCCAAGGGAAAATTCTGACTGGTCTATATGTATAAACCTAAAACTAAAAAAACTGTTAAAAATTAACATCTCAAAGTGAGCTCTGATTCCATGTAACTGTTTTGTGTCATGCATGTTTTGTCTTCCTGATAATCTAGTTTTTTAACAATTGGTTAAAGTATCTATAGCTGCTTCATTTAAAATTTTTTTCTTGAGCTCATCTTTATTTCTTTTTTATCTTTGCCCTCACAGATTTCTGGATCTGTTAAGGCCTTTCATTAAAAAAATAGTTATACAGATATTCAAAGATTACCAAACCCACTTAAAACAGGGGGTGAAATCTACTAGGCTCATCAAGACTTATGTAAAATCTGCAAATAAGAATCTTAAATTTCAGTAACATAAAGGTTTTCTGATTTAGGAGAATATGTGCATTTCTGCATGTTCGTCATCAAAATTTTTAAGTTGGCTTATAGATAAGTGATGTATATTAACCCAAGTGTTCTTTGGTCCCATAATTTAAAGTGAGCTGGCTCAGATGGGTTGGGAAGATGAGAGTACAGCTGTCTTTAAAGCTGGTGACATATTTCATCCAAGTCATTAGCAATCGAGAGGCAAGAATCAACCAGTGTGCAGTAGTTTTGCTGCCTGCCCCACAAGTGCAAGGTCCCTAGTTCCATCCCTGGTACAAAAATAAAAAAGAGTCAGCAGTGTGCACTGTGCCAAAAGGAGGGTTACTAAAGAGAAATCCCCCCAATTCATCCATGGGAAGCCACTCGCCAAACAAGATCATAACCATCCCGACACAGCTGGTAGAAGAGCTAAGAGGTTTCACAAAGGACCCAAGAAGTAATCGCTGAGGAACCTTAACAGAAGTTGACAGATAGACCTTAATAGATGATAGATAGATACATACATACATACATTCATACATAGACAGACAGCAGTAGGTGGAAATTTGGATTGGCATGGGTTTTACTTTGATTTGGTCTTAAGTATACAACAACAAAGTATAACAAAAAGAAGAAAGATAGTAATAACAATATTAAACAAAAAGCTAGGCTAGATGTTGAAAGAGATTCCAAATTCTGCACCACCCCCACTGGCACTCCAGCTTCACTTTCAACATTTCGGCCCACAGCCATAAGAAATAATAATCCCCAGTTGTTGAGGGCTGATCAGACCCCAGGATACTAGTGAGGGGTCAAGAGGGTATAAAGGCAGAAACAAATTTCAAAGCCTAGGGTGGCTGGGAGGAGATATGCCTCAGTGGACACTCTCAACAATCTCCACAGTTGACCCACTTTTATTAGCCAGCAAGAAACAGAGATGGAAGGGGTTGTGTGTCATTCATGGACCAATAGTGGTAAGAAAAGTATTTTCAAAAACACAGAACAGGTTACACTTTTACAGAGGGAATATATGAGAAAGGAACACTAGGGGACCAAGTTAATGAGGAAGTCGTTCTTTGCTTTTCTGTAAATTTACAAGAGCCTCAGTAGGTGCCCAAGAATTCACCAGTCATTGGTTTGTCTCTCTCAGCCAGGAGACACACTGCTGCCCGTGTGCCCCAGCTGTGCAGGCAAGGTTCACCACCCTCCATTCTGTGGCCCTTTGACATAAGTGATGTATATTAACCCAAGTGTTCTTTGTTCCCATAATTTAAAGTGAGCTGGCTTTAAATTTAAAGTGAGTCAGATAGCCCTAGCACCCAACAGTCACACTTTCTATTTCCTGGTAACCGTGAGACCCAGGCCCCAACATCCAGTCTCCCTACCCATTCCAAAACCTGTCCTTCAGCCTCTCCTAGTTTATTCCCACTGTGTCATTTTAGAATACCTTCAAGCACCTCTCAGGTAAAGAGTTAGCTTCTTGAGTAGGTGAGCTTATAACACAAAAGTAGTGATATAAATATTCTAGCTACTCATCATGATTGCTTTCATGGTGTAAATTAACTGTGTTGTCTACATCGGGCTTTGTTCATATTATCGGGAACTAATCACCATAAAGAACTTCAGGTCTACAAAATAGAGGTCAGACACAGACTCTAACCCTATAGTATAATAAACACCTCAAAAAAAATAAAGGTTGAGCCTGGTGTGGTGGCACACTCCTCTAATCTGAGCACTCAGGAGGATCACTGTGAGTTCAACACCATCCTGGGCTACATAGTGTGTTCCAGGTCAGTCTCAACTACATAGTGAGACCCTATCTCAAAATACCAAGAAAGAAAGAAAGAAAGAAAGAAAGAAAGAAAGAAAGAAAGAAAGAAAGAAAGAAAGAAAGAGAGGCTAATCTTAAAAGGCTTATGCCAAATACTACCTAATTTGGTTTGACTTCTGCAACTTTTTAGAGCCACTATTTATCAAGAGTCTCCTTTTAGGGCTGGGGATTTAGCTCAGCGGTTCGGTGGCCTGCCTTGCAAGCACAAGGACCCGAATTCAATCCCTGGTACCAAAAAAAAAAGAGTCTACTTTTAATTTCTGGCCCTGGCTGGTTTAACAAGGCTAAAAAATGAAGCTTAAGCATCTATCACGTGCTAATGTCCTTTCCTTATTTCCAGACCCTGAAAGGGTGATGGTTCATCAAACAACAAAACCCATCTTCCTTTGTCTTCATTAGACCATCTGGCAGGGTAAGACTTTTGATCCCTTGGAGGCAGGATCCACATGGCTTCTAAGCCTAAAGGAATTCTGAGAAGGTGGTCCCTCAGTCCTTCTTATCCCTTCAAAGCAAGGGATATATATCTGGGGCAGGGGTGATGAGATAAGATAGAAGGAATAAAGATAGGTAAAAAGGGACAAGGAAAATAATAACTAAAACAACTGTCCTGTCAGAAGCTCACATGGCCTCTTGCCAGATGTAAGCGAAGGATCGGGAACAGTGTCTTCTGATTGGCTGTGCCCATATGTAAATGAAGGATGGAGAATAGCACTTTCTGATTGGTGCCACAAGCCTTTCTGATTGGTCATTCTGGGCCCTGAGTCTTGCTCACATCTTTTCCCTTTAGGAAACGCCCCTACTGAGGACCTTTGTTGTGCTCTACCCCGCTGGTGTCTGGCTGCCCCAGCTCTGATCTCCCACCTCACCATCACACTTAAGAGTCCTGAAGCATACAGAGAGCAGTAAATGGGCTTAGCTAGGAAATGTAAACAGCAGGGATGTGATCCTAAGGAGCAGGTTGAGGGGATTCAAAGCATGCTTAAATTATCCATCTTTTTAAACAGACTGGGCTCACACCTGCACTTTTTAAACAGACTGGGGCCAGTACTTTGTGGGAGCGGACACCTTTCTGGGGTGTCCACTCCCTCAGGAGCCACCACGTAAATGTTTCCCGCTCCAGGAGGCAGTGCGCCTCTCTCCAGGGCCCCACCCCATTGCTCTGAGTGTGGACTTTGAGCTTCCTATAGCTCGTGCTGACACAGCCTTGGAATTCTCTCTCCGGGACCTAGGCGACCTCGGTGAATCTGCGAACTCGCTCCCAGGTGGGGCACATTCCTTACCTCCGCTTTCCAGTCCTCTGAGGCAGCCTGGACTATGATCTGTGGTCTCCCAGGAGGACTGGCAGCCTGCCTCTCCTTTAGGAAGGACACAGTGGAGGTAGACCGTGCTCCTCCTAATTGCCTTCTGCTTGAGGTTGATTTTAGGTCAAAGAGGTATAGTCTGGTTCCCCTCAACACACACAACGGTGTGGCGTCAGGGGTGTCACCCCCAAAATATTACGTACTGTGAGAGTCCACGTACGTGTTGCTGTCAGTGAGGAAATTACAGCCAGAGGAGGAGCAAACTTCATCATCCAGAAGAAACCAAGCACACCAATAATGCCACCGCCAGCAACACCTTCAGGGAGGGCAACTCCTGGCCTCCCAATTAGCTTTTTAATAGAAGCTCTGGTCGCCTTTGGCTGGGGTTCGCCTATGATTCTGAGCAATCCCAAGAGGAAGGACACGGAAGGGGTCACCACAGAGGGCTGTCTGCCTCCAGGAGACAAATCAGCAGGGCTGAGTCCAGGGCTGGCACAGCCCACAGCTGGGGAGCGAGGGGCGGGGCCCTGGGCCTGGACTCCCAGCCTTACATCTCCCCCTCTGTCCCTTATTTTTTTAATTTTAGTAGTGCACGTTTGCTGTACATAACGATGCTTTTGGTAACACATCTTAGTTCTTTTTATGTCCCTCTTTTTTTTTTTTTATACCTGGGATCGAACTGAGGACCTTGCACTTTTGAGCACCACTGAGCTAAATCCCTAGTCCCACATCTCCTCTCTTGGTCCCCTTCCCATTTGCAAAAGAGCTCCCTGTTTCCTATCATCTACCCTTTGTTTTACTCTTTAATTTTTTCTTTTTTTAATTTATAGCCATAGGCTTGCTCTTTTTATTTATTTATTCACTTATCCATTCTTTTACCCTTTGCCCCTCGTCCTTAAAGTTCAGCCTGCTAGAGTGGAAAGAGAACGTCCCCTCTCCCTCCTGCTGATGCTTCTGTGATCTTGGTTTAAAATTGGTCACAGCAGACAGATCAGCAGGAGAAAAGATGTGCAAATTTATGATGTGTGCGCCCCTCACTCCCGCGAAGGATGTGATGAAGAAATATGCAGAGCGAAGTGGGGGCCAGGGCTGCCTGCTGGGGGCGGCAGGTCTGGGGCGGTGAGGAGGGGCAGGTTGTGCTGCCGAGGCAGAAGTGCCAGGCGACCTGGGCGGAGGTGGAGAGACCTCAGCCCCGACACAGCTTCTCTTCCCTGGCCGATGCCATGGCGCAGAGGGCATCCTCCGCTGGTGTGGACTTCGGAGGGTCCATCGCTAGACAGACCAGGGGTCTTCAAAGAGGAGGAAGAGGAGCGGGAGGCAGGAGAGCTGAGGTCAGAAAGACCCTGGTTCTCCCGCTCAGAGCTCTGGGGCACCACAGCCCCACACCCTGCGTTCCGTCTGATCCCTGGCCAATGCGCTGCTGATGTGGGAGGTGAGACCACCAGAAAGAAAGGCTTCGCTTACCTGCAGCCACAGAGGCACCACAGAGTGAGAAGCGGTGGCCACTACGGGAAGCTCAGTTGGCTCGTGGTCCACAGGGCAGTTCTGGTCCAGTACAGGCTGGGCAGACTCCCCAGGCATCCGCATTGGGCTCGGAATCAGCTCTTGGCCGGGCACTGGCTGCAAGGAGGACCCCAGGCCGTGTGCCTCATTCCAGGACAGAGCCCGGAGTCTGCAGTCAGCACGGCCATGGAAGGGAGTCATGGCGGCCAAGTGCCAGGGTCAGGGATGTGCACTCGGCCCCGGCACTAATGCACTAGACCACAGAGGGGAGGCAAGGGTCACGCTCAAGCCCGAGTGTGCTTACAGCTGGCCAGGCACACGGGGGGCCAGGTCATCCCAACCATGCACGGGCCCTGGAGGCTGCTTTGCGGAAAACCGGAACCCAGACATGCAAATTCTGTTCGCACCACCTGAATGCCACTCTGCGTGCATACACACGCCCTCACACTTGCATGCGTGTGCACTCACCCGCCCCTGCTCCACCATCGCAGAGCCAGGACTGCAGCCCCTCTGGAGCAGGGACAGGAGAGCAGGGCCCCCGAGCCTCCCTCCATGTCGGACAGTGTGGGAACCCAGCCCAGCTCTGCCACCCACAGGCACCCGGACTCCTGCTTCTCTGGGCCCAGGGCCCCTCCTGTGGCTGGGGGATGGGAGCTCGATGTTCCCCAGGGACCTCGGGGCTGGGGAGGTGGTGAAGGCTCCCAGCAGGGGATGGGAGGCAGCACAGCGATTCCCAAGCTCACAGAACAGGAGGAAGCGTGAACTGGGGCGGAGGCAGCGGGCACACAGCGGGCACAGCAGCAGCCAAGTGAGTACCATGGCCCTTGGGGGTGGCACTCAGGACCCTGGGATGGGGCACCCGGGGCAGGGAAGGTCGGTAGGGTTTCACCCTCCGTTGACACCTGGGGCAGGATGCAGGGGCCCTGCTGAGGCCACAGGGTGGCAGGGGTGAAGGAGGGGTGTCGCTTTCCCCCCTCAAAGTCTGTGCCGGGAGGACACAGTGCCCCCAGAGGTCCCGAGGGAGGTGGGGTCCTGGCCCTCCCAGGCCCAGCCCACCCAGCCCTGGCCTAAAGGGAGCGAAGGCCCAGAGGGGACTCTCGGGCAGACCCAGAGCAGGCTCCAGGCAGACACTGTGCCGCTGGGGGAGGAAGAACATCAAGGAAGGGAAGGGGGCCCCAGGCCCAGGGAGAAAGAGCCTTTGAGGGCCAGGCAGGGCACTGTCCAGTCCAGCAGGTGGACGGGGTGCTGGTGTCCCACCCAGGGTCAGTGCCAAGGCTGGGGGTCAGGCTCCGAGGCAGGGTCAAGCCCCTGGAAGTGACCAGAGCCAGGGCCAGGGGCTCAGTTGCACGTAGGGACATAGTCACCAGGTATCCTTAGGGCCTGGAGCATCTCATGCCGAACAACTCCACAGACACCCACTTGACAGATGGGGAAACTGACACCAGAGAGGCTACCAGCTTGCAGGGTGGGGCAGACACCTGCCAGTGACCCCAGGGCCTTGGCCCCACCGCCGGTGCACTGCTACACTGCTGTCCCAAGGGTGGCTCTGGGGTGGCCTCCCTGGCTACAGGAACATCAGCAGTCGGGAGCTGGTGGGAAAGACCTGGTGACTGTGTCTCCCTGGAACGGGTAATGGGGAGAAGACAGCAGCGCTGGCTCTGCAGGGTCTGTGCGCCCAGGGCCCATCCTGAGTCCCCTCCCCGAGACTTGGCCCAGCCGGACTGGGGCCCACAGGCTCCCGAGACGGCCTCTCTGTGCAGGGGCCCCCTCCGCCCAGCGCTCAGGGCGCCCAGACTTCGCCCCCAACGCCTGCTGGAGGCGCGAAGTCACAGCGGGTCCCAGCCAGGCCAGCGGCTCCCTCTGTTCCAGCGTCTGCTGTCTGCCGAGACTTCCTCTTCCCTTCTTCCCCTCCGTTCCATTCCTTTCTCTTCTCTTCTTTCTTTCTTTCTCTTTTTCTTTTTCTTTCTTTCTTTTTTTTTTTTTTAACCTGGGATCAAACTCAGGCCCTTGCAGTGGCGGGGGCGGCGGCACTGAGCCAAATCCTCAGCCCCTCTTTCTTTCCTCCTTGTTCCCTCAGTACCGCAGACTGGACACAGAGCTTTCCTGCTAAGCGTTCTGCCCCTTTTCTGACTTCAGAGATGGGGTCTCTCTGAGTTCCAGCTGGGCTGCTTTCTACCCTCTTGTCTCAGCCTCCTTGGTGCTAGGGTTGTTTGTGATGCCAAACATCCTTGTGATGCCAGGCTTGTTTGTTGTTTGCCTGTTTGTGGTACTGGGGTTGAACCCAGGGCTGCATCCCAGCCTGTTTGTATTTTGTTTGGAGGCAGGGAGTCCTTAAGTCACCCCGGCTGACTCACTGTCCCTCTTCCTGCCTCGGCCTCCACAGCACTGGGTCTCCAGGCTGTGCCGCCACTTGGACCGAAACTGGAGCTTCCGCCTCTGAGCACTTCGGCTCTCAGGGCCCATGTTGTCCTCCCGCACCCATTCCGCACGGCCTGCTGCAGTAAAGGCCCACTGCGAGCTCTGCTGCTGGCCGGTGAGCATCCTGGACGCAGTGGCTGGTGCCGCCCTGGGGCCTGCCTGTGCCTGTCCCAACCACACGGCACACCGGCCGGGTGCAGGAAGACCGAGACGCCCCCCCGACCGGGCCCCAGGACAGGACAGGCACCCAGGTGGGCCAGTCCATGCCCGGCTGTAGGCTGGAGAGGGGAGCAGGAGGCCCCCAGACTGCGACACTGTCACACCTGCCGCCAGCAGAGAGCCTATTTTGGGAGGTGTTGTCTGTTCTCCCCAGAATCAGGAGGTCTCCCTTTCATCAGGTTTCTCACCCTGGGCCCAGGGGAGAGGCTACCAACTATGCGTGCGCTCCCGCCTGTGTCTGTGCAAGGTGTGATCAAGAGCGCAGTGAGTGCTGCTGCCGAACGCCATGTAATGGGCAGAAAAACAAGACGCTGCGTCCTCGTCCACCTTGTTCACCAGGTCTGGCACCCAGACTTCCGGCTCTGCCCAAAGTCAAGGTGACTGTGAAAGGTCGACGTTTTGAATCAATTGAGGATATCAAGGCAGCCATGACAGTGCGACACAGGCCCTCAGGAAAGAGGACTCCAGAGCTGCTGCAGGAGGGGCCGGGACAGTGGGATGAGTGTGTTGAGGGGAGGACGGGGGGGGGGGCTCGGGGCCACGTGACTCTTGCTGCAATGCTTCTATTTATTTGAGCATTCACTGAGCTTTTTTCGATCACACCTAGTATAAGACCCAGGGTTTCTGCCCTGTGTTTTCAGGGCCTTCCATGGAGCTGCCTCCAGGCCCCCATGGCTGTCCCGCAGCCTGTGGGGAATCTCTCTGTGTTTCCCAGCTAAAGGTCCAATGCGATCCATGAACAAGACACCCACCAGGACAGACGGCCGGCCTCTGCCCCAGGACGCTTGCATGGCAGGTGCAGAGTGTGCAGCTCAGTGAGGGGTGTAGCAGGTCTCAGACAGGGTGGCTGCTGTCCGGCTGCTGTTTGCTGTGACGTGGGTACTCACGTCGGTTTTCCTAGTGAGGAAACAGGCAGGGAGAGGAGACTGTCTGGTTCCCACATCTCACAGTGAGAACAGAGGCCTAGATCCAAACTCTGCCTCTGCCTAGAGCCGGGCCATGGCTGGTGGATCCTCCTCGGCAGGATGGCTCTCTTCGATGCCGGCACCCCCAGGCTATTCTCACCACTGTGGCCTCATGACTCCGGCCAGGGGCGGGGAGGGGGGAGCTCGGCCTGAGGCTTGCTGTGTGCTCCTGAGAACCACTCTCCCTCTCTGGGCAGCAGGAGGTTAAATACCCGATCCCGCAAAGGGTCCTCTCATTCTGGGGGTGCGGGGGTGTGGCTCAGGGGCAGGGAACTTGTCCAGCAGAGGGGGCTCAGCCTTTGATCCCCAGCACTGGGAGGAGAGGGGCAGAGAAGAGAAGGGAGGCAGCAGGGAAGTAGAGGGAGGGGAGATTCCTCCTCATCACCAGGGGCTGAGAGCAAACTCCGGTCTCTGGGATGAGAGGCGCTGACTGGAGTCCAGACCTTGCCCAGCCTGAGCCCCCGGCCTGGAAACAACTTCTCCGAGACGAGCCAGCTGAGGCCAGCACTATCTGCCCGGGGAAGAGCAGGAGCAGGTGTGTGACCCGCTGTGACCCGTCTCCCAGGCACTCCCGGCACCATGTCTGCG